TAGCCAAGTCTGCGTCAGATCGCTGGATGACCACAACTTGGTCTTCTAACCCTAAAGTGAGGCAAACCTCAACCCTGGTTTCGACGACCTCATCAAGGGTGTCCTCCGACGCCCCTACGGGTTCGCGACTCAGGTAGTCCACATGAGCCATTTTCTCACCTGCACGGTGCTTCACCTCAAAGTCATACTCCTGTAGCAAGTCAAACCACCTTGCTATCTGTGGTTTAAGAGTCTTGTGTGCATTGAGGTACACGATTGATTGACAATCTGTTACCAGCGTGAACGGAATGCCTAGAAGGAATGGACGCAGTCTTTCCATACTTTAGACTACTGCCATGAGCTCTAGTTTTCCTGCATGGTAGTTCTTCTCGGCATCAGTAGTGCGCTTACTGACACAAAACACCAGGTGCCAGCGTCCTGACTCGTCTTGCTGAAGAATCATTCCCGCAAGTCCATGCATACTTGCATCCGTGTGGAGTTCAGTTGGGGCTGAAGGGTCAAACAACTTCAGTATCGGGGGTTCTGTTAGTTTCTTTCGGAGCTGGTCGAAAGCCTCCTGTTGCTCGATTCCCCATGTAAAGTTTGTTTCTTTCTTGGTCAGACGAGTAAGAGGTTCTGACTTCAGTGCATAGTGCGGAATGAACCGTCTGAAAAATCCTGTCAGGCCCAGAAACCTCTTGACCCCGTGAACATCGGTCGGCGGGCTAGCTTCCAGTATGGCTTGTTGCTTCACTTCACCTGGCTTTAGGTAGCCCTTCACAATCTTGAAGCCTAAGTAATCAAGTTCATCACTTCCAAACACACACTTGGAGAGTTTCAGGGTTAGTCCGGCAGCCCGCAGAGCATCCAGGACTTGTTTGAGCTGAACCAGCAAGTCCTCCCAGTCCTTGGCTGGAATCAACAAGTCGTCCATGTAGCACAATGCTACACTGTTGCGCAGAGTCCCAAGGACTTTCTTCATCAGACGTTGAAATACAGCCGGGCCATTTCTCAGCCCAAACACCATACGTTCAAACTGTCCAGTCTCATCAGGCGTGATGAATGCAGTTTTGGCCTTCGATTCCTCACTCAGTGGAAGCTGGAGGTATCCGTTTGCACAGTCTAACACGCAGTACATTCGTGCACCGGACAGTCGTTGCAGCTGGTCGTCTATGTTTGGTAATGGGAAGTGTTCTGGCACAGTCTGGCTGTTAAGCCGTCGATAGTCTATGACAAGACGATTTTCTCCGTTTTTCTTTTTCACGAGTAGCACTGGGCTAGCATATGGCGACGTTGTTTCGGTGACGATACCAGTCGCTTTCCACTCTTCGACAATTTTCTGGATCGCTTCCCTTTCCGCCGCATTAGTCTTGTACGGCTTGCAGCTGACTGGGGTACTTCCAGGTTTCTCCGTGATGGTCATTTCTAGATGGTTGCAACACCCCAACTCAGACAAATTCAGTGCGAAGCAGTCCCTATACTCATTCAGCATCTTCAGCAGTGCATCCACTTGCTGTTCATTGATGTCTTTTCCGACATTCAGCATGCCACGATCTATGGGCTCTTGCTGAGGCACAGTCCTCACTAAGGTTAACTCTTCCCTCTCCGAGAGCAATTCTGCGTGAGCAAACAAACTTCCCTTGAGCAGCTGTTGGTCTTCATCCTTGTCGTTCAACACAGGTACCTCAACCCTTCCGTGGTCAATGTGAAGCAGCATTCCCTTGTCGGTCCCACCAGGTACGATGAGACTTCCTTCACTCTTACCAGTCTCCACTGTCACCCAACACACAGTTCTTTTGGGCAGCACCATGGTTTCCTTGACACGCAGAGGTTCCTTGGAAGGCTTTATCTGGGCAAGGTCGATGTCACAAAATGGAAGGTCGTCACGGTAGCCAATCCTGAGCTCATCTCCCATGCGCAGGTATGCAATGTGGTCTTGTTCCGTCCAGGTCCTACCGACCAGCATGTCCACAGGCAGGGCACTGTCGTTGACGACAATCACCTTGACCTTATGGCACACCACATCGTCGATTTCAATGTCGACCTCCGAAGTTCCAATGGACCGCACTGTAGATGTGTCGGTGTTCCCAAATCCATACAAGTCTTGGCCCTTGCACACAACTTGTAGGTTACACTTTTCAGCCGCTCGATGACGCAATATACAGTCTGAACTTCCAGGATCAATCATCACCGAGAGCTGGTGAGTTCCATTGATAAGAGCAGCCTTCAGGAATTTAGCTGGATCACTGTCACCTGAACTCTGATTTACCACAAAGTTGCCAACAGGGTTTGCTGCTGCGCAGTTTCTCGCCATGTGTCCATACTTTCCGCAACTGTAGCATTTTCGCTCAGCTTTATCTCGCTTCAAGAATTCCGGTGTTTTCTTGTGTGGTCCCCCAGCACTTGCCTGATCCGTCGGTTTGATCATGTTACTTCCCTGACTTACTGCGCCTCTGGCCACACCCTTCTGATCTGTGAGGCGTATTCCACTAGTTGTCTGCTCGGTTGGACGTGCACTAGCCCTTAACCTTGAGGTTGATGACCCGACGCGAGGTGTTGCACCTGGCTCACCGCTGTGTGGCTTGCCCCTTGGAGACATCTGAATCCTTGATTCACTTATTCTCTCCAGCCTTCACAAGTCTGCCAACAATTCATCCTCGTCCCTGTGCTCCTTTGCCGTCAAGGAGATGCACGCGTCTCTAGACCGCAGCCCAACCAAAACTTGCTCCTTGGTATCTTGCATACCAAGACCCAATTCCTTGCACTACAAGGTCTTTTCGAGGAGGTAAGCAGTGGTAGACTCTCCCCTCATCTGGATTCTTTCCTGCATCTGCTTCCATTTTTCGGCTGTGCTTGTTTCGCCCACAAAGGTTTTTCTAAAGGCCACCTTGAAGTCCTCCCACGTAGTAAGGTCTTCGACACGGGCCTGAAGCCAAAATCGAGCAGGTCCCTTCATGTGGAGCCTGGCGTTCTCTAGCCTGAAGCTGTCCGGCCAGCCGTGCAGAACTGCCATGGAGTCAATACTCTTGAGCCACGCCCCGGCTTCGTGTGACGACCCCTCGCCGTCGAAGTCGTGAACAGCCTTATTGAGGTCCGGCATAACATGAAACGTTTCTGGTTTCCTCTCGACGAGGTCGAGTAACCTTCGGTTTTGTTCCAGTAGCGCTTGCATTATCTCGTTTCCGTTGTCGTTAGCCATCTTGGGGTTGTCTAGACGTCTTCCTAGGCGTACACACAGTTGCCGCTTTTGTTTTTTTCGCCTTCGGTTATGCGTCTAGGCGTACAGACGTCACACAGAGCGTCCGCACGCACGGTCCCCACGAGGTAGCACGAAGACTCACGTTTCCGCCGTCGGCACCTCACGAAGACGGTACCCGTTGAGACAGCGTCCACATACACGCAGTCTGCAGGCGCACAGAGCCCACTTTCTACGGCCTCTACCTCACGACGACGGCACGGGCTCGGCACTGTCCGTAGCGTCAACTCAAGTCAGCGAGCATCACCGTCGGCGCAATCCGACGACATCGGCTTCCAGGATCGCCTCACCACGAAGGTTTCGGTGAATCCCACTTCTGAGATGTTGTCTTTCCTCACATTAAACGAACTTTTAGGAAAATAAAAGACTTTAATACAGGAAAATAAAATTAAAGGTTACACGTGCGGCGAACGCACACTTGCATGCCGCCATCTTGCCCGCATCGCTGGCCGTCTGCCCAATGTTGCTCCCTTCGTTTTCGGATTTCGCTAACAGTAGTGAATCCGTCTCCCTGTTCTCGAGCTGAAGAGAAGAGTTGCTGAAAGTCGTGATGCTAACTTGTCTGTGGTTTATGTCGCCCCCGCTTTCGGGATCATCCTAATTTTTATGGAAACTTAAGTAATTTGTTCTTGGAAAACTGCGTCCATGTAAAATTGTCTAATCATTGGGAAGGATAGCAATAAAATGCCTTTGATTTCAGGTTGAACGAGTTATCCTCGCGATTGATAGAAGAATGGAGGATGACCAGGCCTACAGCCAGTCTCTTCATACTTTGGCCTACAGCCAGTCTCTTCATACTCCCCACCACCACAATCCATCACCTCCTGTAGTTGGTGGGCGAAAAAACGCCATTGTTGGCAAACTCGGAACCTCATTCTTTGTCGAATTTCACCTGTAGCTCTTGAATGTTAGCTGTTCATTTTTTAAGGTCATTATAGCCCTTTTTTATAACGGTAGTGGACTCGTGAAGTCTCGCAGCATCTTCAATGCTCTCAGCTCCGAGAAGGAGGTCATCGACATAGAGTGAGGTTCTTAGTTTCTCTTCTAACATTGACTGTTTGCATACCAGCTTCAGGTGGTGATGGATTGTGGCCGTGAGTATGAAGGAAGGAACTTAATGTGGACCGAAAGGGTGCACTGGCCATGCCTAAAATGCCATGGCTCAGGCATGCCATACCTCAGCCTAAAATGCCTTTTTTTTTTTCTTCTATCCTTCCCACTGATTAGACCATCTTACATGGGACGCAGGTTTTCGAGAAGAAATTACTTCAGTTTCCATCAAAATAAAACATAATATCCAAAGAGGGTGCGATAAGGCAAAAATAAAATTCCAAGGTAACTGCTGCGTACCAAATATCTGATGAAACTCAAGGAGTGGGTAAAAGACAAAAAGAAATATACAAGCTCGATCATTCTGATAAAGAGCGTGGAGCTGATAATATGTTGAGCGCAAACTACTACGTCGCAGAACCACCTTGCTGAAATTGACGTGACAGTTCTTCGTGAGAATTCTTGGTGACGGTTTGCTCATGGAACATTGGTGACAAAGTGCGTTCTGTGTTAAGGAAAGGAAGGCGACACATATGACTCGAGCACAACTACGATACGTTGACACTTGAGCAGCTTTTATCTCACTTCTTTTTTCCTGTTCAAATTTCTGCATAACTAAGGCTGACTAGTTTGCCCACCTTATTCCTTATGATCTAATCTCCCTCCAAGCCGGGAGAACTTCTCGCAAGAATTATGGTAATAGAACGTAACGTACCGAAGGAGAGCTTTCACGTAAGCCAAATCCTCATTGCTTTGGGCGTTAAGCACTTTTCCCATGATGGTTTCTGAAAAGTGGAAACACATATTGTATTCATATCTGGTCTAAAGAATCGACACATTCAAACAGTGCAAACATGATAACGCAAATACATATTACTGAAAATAGACCAGCTTGTAGTTTTGATTTTCAGTTAACACAAAATCTTTCCGGGAAGAAAAACGCTCGGATAACTCGAAATGCAATCTTAGCGAAAGGTCTGCTGGCAGTCAAGACTTTTGAGGGAACTTTTCGTTTTAGGTTGTACAGTGGGTGACACAGTTAGCCCAAAACAAGCCGTCTCAGGATTGAAAGAGCCGCTCAGGCAAAGCCTTTCCATCCCGGGAGAAAGAGAAACCAACGATAGGAATTATATTTGACGCTCTTCTAAAATCTTTATGTGTAAAACTGAGAAAAGTGCCGATATCATGTTCGCACTTACGAGAGAGTTTTACTGTTTTAGCCTATCGTTACGATAACCCCGATAATGATACTCCATATTATATTATGCATGCGCAAAGGCGCCGGCGGAGTATCGGGTATGGGTATCGTAGCTATCTGAACGATTTAATGAAACTTTCTAATGTGTCGAGCAGTGTATCGCAAAAGAAACAAATCAATCGCAGTCATTACCACAGACTATGTCCAGGGTGCAGAGTGTAACCTTCGGAACCACGTCAACCCCATTGTGGTCGAGCGATTTTTTTCCTAAAATGTCAGCAAGAACCATAGAGTGGCTGTTGATTGCGGAAGAAAAATCTTCCAGGATTCGGAAGTGAAACGCTGGTGTAAAAAGCCGCCTTCGCGACCTCCACTTGTTGCCAGTACTGTGCGAGAAAAACAAACAAACAAATAGAACCTAACATGAGTATTAAACACTCAAAATCTGTGAGAGTATATTGAATGGAGCGGTTTGGGATGCGAGGAAGGGTACATGTGGGACGTTAAAGTTAGAAAGCTATGGAAGAGTTGCAACATTTGTACATTAACAAATGGACTTCAATAGCTGCATGTTTTAACTCCTGAAGGCAGAAAATCATTGAACGATTCTGCACCTTAGTTTAAGTCATGAATCAAAAAAAGAAAAAAGGTAACATAAAATATGAAAAGTTATAAGTTTAATACTCATTACTCCAAAAATATTCGACTAAATTTATTTTTCAAAATTTTTTTATTGATTACTGACTAGTGATTTAAAGCTTGTCAATGCAAAAGGTGCGCGCGCAGTTTATGATATAATTTCGGACAAAACTTAAGCTTACCACTAGGTCATAATGACCAGTAATCTTTTGTATACACAACTCAGAACATTTAAACAAGACAAGGTATAGATGGGGACTACTTGATACTTTACAAGCTTCAAAAACAAACCGCACAAAAAACGGCGACAAAAGATAAATAACACAAAAAATAAAGTAATTAAAATTAATAAATAAAACTCCCACGTCTTTATCTTGTGCGGGTTGCATACACTCTATGCGTTCATTTCATTTGTATGAGTTGTTCTAGAAGAAAACATAATGACAAATTTCCTAATACGTGACACGAATTAACGTTTCCCGTGGTTCAAATCACATTAACTGCATTAATGAACAAGTCTTCACCAAGAAAGTCGTAAACTCAGAAAAATGCTTGAACAGCAGTAGAGGCTTTCTTACACGACGTTACGGGAAGAGACTTCCCTTCACTTGAAGAAGACAAGTCTCTTCCCGTAACGGTCGTGTAATAAATCCTCTACTGCTGTTCAAACATTTTGCTCAAATCACAGCTGTTTCTCAAATACCATCGTTGCATATTAAGCAGAAACATTGCGGGCCTATAGAATGTGCGTTATTCGATGATGTGCTAAATTTAAAAAAAAAGTTCTTTTTGAAAAAAAAAAAAAAATAAACGTTATAGAGACAGCATAAACGTGCCCATAAATTTAGAAAAAGCTATAATTTACGCACCTTGTTAGCAAACCGGTTCCGAGCCAACTATGGAGAAGATTGTACTCGCCCCCTTTTGTTAAGACCTTGTTACTTCTGAGTAATTCCTAAGAAAACGAGGCATTTTCAATGTAAATTCTTAATATATATAGAAAAACTCTAATTAATTCTATACGAATTAAAATTCACATTGTAGGAAGGCTCTGAGACGTACCTCTACGAAATCAGCTCTGTAAATTATAACAATTGGTGTGAGGCCAGAGTAATTTCGGTGCATGCCATACTTTTGGAAGCAAGCGTGTAACCCAGACAATGTGCTGAGAACCACTGAAAGAAAAACATTCTGAGGTTGAAATACCATTCGCATAAATTTATTTATTTATTTACCGATACTGCTAGCCTCGTCGATGCTATAGCAGGAGGGTACAAACACACACACGCGCACAAACAAAAACACAATTAAGAAAGCGCTATCACAAAAAAGAAATCTCGGCAGCGCTCTCCTCCACTGCTATGCACACAAAATATTTTAATGAGGTCAGTGCTCTGTCGTGACTCGTCAGCACCGACTAAAAGCAAAATGTACAAGCAGTGGCAAAAAGAAAATAAAACATTCTTTCCCACAAAAAAAAAAAAACCTAAATATTATTTATAGTTTTTTTACGAAGAACCCTTTCAGAAGGTTCTTAAAAGTACCTTTCAGAATACAAAATATGGAGAAGCTGAAGAAGGCCTAAAAATTCTATTACGACCCAATTTTTTTAATGTAGACTTTAAAAAAAAAAGAAACAGTTCGCGCTAAAGTCACGGCGATAAAGTAATCATCACTGTGACTGTAACGAAAGCAGACACAAAATTGAGTGAATACCACGGAATCATTAATACGCAGGTAGGAACTTCAAGCAAATTAACAAAGCGTTGTGCTCTGATTCCTGTTCTCTACGTCACAAAAAACTTGCTTCATTTACACGTAAAAAAAAATAATGAAGAAAATGGTTACTTACAAGCCCCAAATCCCGCCGGATTATCCGGCTGGGAGCATGCTTTGAACATTATGTAGTCGTTCAGGAATGGCAGCATCTCCCTGCTTCCAGGCAAGTGCTCCAGTTGTTTTAACGACTTCCGCTGCATGCACCGGGCGACCGCAAGGAAACATCCCAGCAGGAGTACGGACAATGCGCATAAGTAGGCGCTCCACTTTAGGGCCCAGTACGACAGACCGAGCACAAGGTCAGAGGGCGATACTTCGGTGACTTCGTTTATCACCCACTGGATCATCCTGTTTGGAACAAAACGGACGGAAATGAAAAAAAAAAACAAAGAATACAAAACGGTTCGTGCACATGTTAGCCCTACGATACTCCAACTAAATAAAACTTATATTCGCTCTATCATGCTAACAAAGACCGGAGAGCAGAGGATGTGTCGAGAATGAGCTGGGCACATGCCTCGTGTGGGTGTGTGTGCGTGTGTGACGTACATCACGTGACCTCATCCGGTCGCACGACGCAAATCGCGTGATACCGTGATTTCACGTGACGTCACACGACTGTGACGTCACAGGAGTCGTTGTGTCACGTGATGTTACAGCGTCACATGAAAGACGCTCCAGATTTCACCCGACATTGCCAGCTTAAAAAACGCAGGTCGTGGCGAGCCTAATATTGTCGCTCCGTACACGCAATGCGATTGCGACGTTAGCCAATCAAAACACCAAAGTAGGGATATTTCTTGTTCTCCTGTGGTTGCTGAAAGCTTAAGAATCGCGGGGCGCCGTTTATTGTGCTTACACCTCTTGCCCAACCGCGATTCGTCCTTCCTCTTCCCTATCGGTTAATTTGAGCAACCTCATTGGCTGCGATAATAATGAGATGTCTCGCCACTAGGGGAACCGGGAGAATTTGCTCGCGTACAGCAGCAGCAGCAGCACCAAGTCACGTTATCTACTCGGCGCGGCGATAACCCCCAAGAGTGAATTACGACGAACAAGTGCTGCTATACGTGTCGAGCAGTCTAATACACGCGTTGCGATAGAATGTAGACCGACATATAGCGTGGCACATCCCTCTTTCCCGTTCCAGACGCCTATACTTTAGCCCGAGTATACACAAGACGCAAATATATGATAATGTCTTTATTGCACGAAGAAATATACATCGTTACAAACAGGTCCGCAAAAGCACGTGAGTGCTTGTATGCGCGTGACCTGGCAACCAGCAGAGAAACTACTAACATCAAACAATGCGAAGCACAAAATAAACAGAAAAACGAAATACTCCTGACCCGTACAACAATTTAAAGATCGTAGTTACAACACCAATTTCTACGCTCTTTTTTATCACTTGCAACGATTGTAGATATAAAAGTTCATTAGGCAACAAATCAAAGTCACGAGGAACGTAAAAAGACCGAACCCGCTTTCCGTAATTTGTGTATACCCTAGGGAGGGCGAACCGCTCTATTTTTCTCAAAACCTTTTGCTTCTTCACAGCTTTCTTAAACGCACTATTAAATAATTCTTAGCTAGTAGGCTAATAATAAATAGGTAGACACAGAAATGCGCACACAGACATATACGCCAACGCCCATGCGCGGGCACGGGGGCGTCTTTGTGAAGGCGCCATGGCTTCATCATTCACGCACACGTGCGTCTATGACGCAATATAGTCACTCGGCGGAGCATAGGAAACTCAGGGTGTAGCTTATTTGTGTCCACGGGTCTTGCTTCGTGATTCGCCGGTCGGCGTCCTTATCCGCGCGTACTGCAGTCTCATTGGCTACGGATGAATAAAAAGATGCCAAGAAAGAACACTCACTTTTATTTCCAGTTTTGCCTATATTCGGAGGGGATGGTCTTGCAATTTTGCGTTATAACTTATTCAAGTTTCATTCGGTGGAATCCACGACAGCGATCGAAACTCGACTCGGCTACTCGGAGCGCCCTTGAAACCTTCCGACTACAGCGAACCACCAGAATAGAATGAAGCGCGGAGCGGAACGCTCTTATCGACGAGAGGGAGAGAGACTTCGTCCGTCCTGGCGCTGGGCCAACGGAAACGCACTATTGTCCGCGTGTGGCTTCTCGCACTCTCTCCTTCCCCCCCCCCCCCCCCCCCCCAATCTCTATCACAACGCTTCTCTCTCTCTCTCTCTCGTATCTTCTTGGAATCACGATTGAGACAGAACAACGGCCTACGAGCGAGACGGCAAGAAGTGGCCATACCCCCGGTACGATGCGTGCGCAAAGGCGACGGCGTAGTATCGGTCGTTATCGAAGTCATCGGAACCATCTACGAATACTCTCTAATAATAACATAAGGTGTTATCGTGGAAGGGCGCTATTATATTCCCCTGATTAGCCGGGGGCGAAAGACAGACTCGGCGATCTTATTTACTTGTTATGAACAGTCTGTACTCTAATGACTGATTCAAGCAGGGTCCTAAGCAATATTAAGAAGGGAGAAAGGGTGGGCGGGGGGGGGGGGGGGGGGGGGGGGGGGGGAAGGGAGTGCTCCCCCCCTTGTTCCCCTTCCTCTTGTGCCACACAAAAGCGACTTTGTTAGAAAAGAAGAAAAAAAAAACATACAGCCGCGCTTCCCGTATTTCTAAAATATCTTTATTCGATGGTTTTCTACAACGCTCAGTAAATTTCTAACTAAAATTATACGTTTACTTTTACTACTTAAAAAGTTAATGAAAAAATGTTAGTTCCTCTTATCGTGGCAATTATCCCCATGTATGATGTCCTTCCGGTCATATACGGGGTGTCACAAAAAAAAAAAAAAAGTTACAGGGTTTTTTTTTTTCCCGCAAAAATAAACTAGGCATCGCCGAACGCTCATTCTCCGTCTAAAGGTATCGCTAGAGGTCACGGCCAGACGATCAAGTTTCAGCCCGATCCGATACCTTAATCAAAAGTTAATAGTGATTTTCTGAAAATTTCAATGGGAAAATGGAGCCCATTTTCGCAAATTTTCGGTTTCTGGTGCCCATAGAGCCCCATGTATTCGAAAACTCCGTCGGCCGCCATTTTCCCATTGAAATTTTCAGAAAATCACTTATAACTTTTGATTAAGGTATCGGGTCGGGCTGAAACTTTTGCATCTGGTTGTGACCTCTAGCGCTACCTTTGGGGAGAGAGTGAGCGTTCGGCGATGCCTAGTTTATTTTTGCAGTGAAAAAGAATGTGTAATTTTTTTTTTGTGACACCCTGTATAACTTATCTTCACCGACCGCATTAGTTATATTTTTCACAACGGTTTTTTTTTTGTTTTTTTTTTTGTGTTTCTTTGTAAACAAATGTGTGAAGCATAAAAGACAACAAAAAGCCTGTACGTTGCTTTCTATTTTTGGCAGTCAAAGGTATTATAGCCCACAATTTTCTGGAACTGCTTTTTTTTTTTTTTTTTCCTATCAGATTTTTATCTTACGTTCTGACGACCCTTTTGGCATGGTGGACTAGAGGAGCGAGCTGGAAGGAAACACCGATCCGTGACTGTTCAAGAATCCCGTAGATGGCGCTCAGGGGGCTCGATAAGGGGTATTCACACGGGGGAGAAATCCCGGGGATTTCTCCCCGTCACGCGCATCCCACGACGAAAACGCCAGGCTTTGCGATGTGCAAAAGCCTCGCGTTTTCATCTCGTGATGCGCGCGTGCCGGGGAGAAATCCCCGGGATTTCTCCCTCGTGTGAATACCCCTATAGGCAATATCGCTCCAATATCGCCAATATGTTGGCGAAAGCTGCGCTTATAAGTTTTTATAGGGCGCGTGAGCTACAATGCCGTGAAAACCCAAATATATTCATGTCCTTCAGTGCTCAATAAATGAGATAGTATTACTTTGAAGGTGAGATTTGGCATAAAAAAAAACAACAACAGAGAATCAAGTTTTTCTTGTTAAAACGCAACTCTAATTTTATGCAATCAGTATCAATGCTTGAAAACGTTAAAGAGATCACGTGTGCATAATAATCACTTCATTACCAATTTGTTTTCACACACAAAAAAGTGTAACCAAACTTTTCTCTTTCTAAAAACATAGATTAAATTACACGTCTCATTTTAACAAGTCTAAGCATTTTGCTCCTCTCTTATCGCGCAACGTTTTGTCTATTCGCATAGAAATCAAATCACATTAATTCATTTATTTCGCCACAGTGTAACAGATATGACCAGGGGGACAGAAAAAAACAAAAAACTGTAAGGTTTTAACTTGTCGGGTACTTGTCCCCTGAAACACACGGGGCCACAAGACTAGCCAGAGTATAAATCTTGATGTCGCTAATGAAAGGAACTAATACCATTCGCAGTAAAAATAGCTTACAAGTACACTCTAATAATATTCAAGACATTGACAACCTTTAAACCACTTTATTGATTTTTTTCAGAAACGGTATCTAAATATTTTACTGTAGTGAATTAGCCTAATCATCATCATGAAATTGAATAACATTAAAAGTTTGCATGCAGGGTTCAAAACCAATAGAATTCTTAATTTAAAAAAAAGAAAAAAACATTCGATGGAAATTATATTACATTTCGCCGTGTGGTAGGGGTATGAAACTGTCAATTGTGCATTGCTGATCTCGAGTAACGGCGGGTATAGTCGCCGAATTGTAGTCTGTTGCAGTGGATGCCTATAAACTCTTTATTAACATTTTCTACCAGCCTTGTACACCGTTTTTATGTTCACAAAATCACGGCCTATCGTGCGATCTCCGCGGCCCAGCACGCTTATGCATGTTCGTCGTTTCGGAAAGCGAGCAAAGAGCACGCCATATGCACGAAACGTGAGAGTACGGTACCGGCCAAATGCCCGTTCTTAGAAAGGTGTATACATTTATTTTTTAAACTTTTTGAAAGTTTGTTTTTGTCCCTTGACTTCAAAAATACTAAATTTGTGTACAGTTGTACAAAAATGCTAGCATTTCTTAAAAACAAAAGATTAGTATTTCTTCGCATCCCAGCCATTTCCGCAATGCAATTGAGTGTGGGATAAATAAATAAATAAATAAATCGTTTATTGAGTAATTCTTGTACATAATTTGATCGAAGGCCCGCATAAGCGCGCGAGCGTTTGTGCGCGGGACCATGGCAACCCAACAGAGTGCTCAAAATAATTAAAACGATGGTAACCAAACATTTTGCTCAGAACAGGCTATACAATGTTAACACAGCACCGGTAAAGTGTACAACAAATGAAAGGACATTATGTATACACCTAGAACATAGCGAGAGCACCACTCCTTTAGTTTCTGTTTCGTGTCTTTCAGAGACGACAAGTCATACAATTCTTCCGGAAGTTTATTGATGTACAATAAAATAGAATATTTTCTCTAACGCCTTCTGTAATTTGTGTATATCATAAGATTGGAAAAGGTTTCAGAATGTCGAATATGTTTTTATCTGTTGACTCTATACTTGAAATCGTTAGTATAATAATATTTCATTAAAACTACAAATTCCTTTAATTCCTCAACCTTAATTCTCTTAATTCCTGAATATTTGTAGAGAGGCTAATTTCTTTTTTTTTCTTTTTTTTACCGTTATCAAGAGTTTAAAATTTCGAACCATATGCAATACTATCTGCAGATCTATATATTAGTATATTTAAGTTTTTCGTCTGGTGGGCAGAACAGGAGCCATACACAGTGATTCCATAAAGGAAGAGGGAGATACTGCTAGTCCTTCGTACACTCTTTTTCTAAGTAAAATATGATAGACATTTCTTAGTTTGTACATATACGCTAAAACGAGTCGCAGGCGCTTAACTAGATTTTCAACGTGTGCCAACTAAAGTCCCCTGATACTTCTTATAGAAATTAGAAGTAACGACAACCAATACAAATGACAAAGAACATTCCGCTGGAACAAAATGGCGTCATTCAGTTCATATCTCTGCTGTGCGCCGCCATTCGCTTCCTAAAACCTGCACCGTCACGCAGTCGGCGCTTCAAAGAATGTTTCTACTTGTAGGAAGCTTTCATCTAGGGACTTTAAAGCCAACCTATCATTGCGCGGTTTAGAACTCGTCGCTCCTCGCCGCAGAAGAAAGGAGCCAATGGGAGGTGACGTAGATAGGGCGTTGCGATGCCATGGCAACGCGCAAGCCGGTTCTCCGCGCGTCTTTCACGTTGCAAAGGAGCGTAGCGTGTTTGTTTCGTCTGCTATCCCTATTTCCTCCAATGCCTTTGCTAACTGGGCCTTCTCCGAGCGCTTGCCAGAGTGGGCCGTTTATAACGAAAAATACAGCCACCCCAGGCTCAAAATACAAACGTGCGATTGTCATTTACGGATATTGTGGATCATATTCAACCTATTTTTGAACACGACGGAAATATTTCAAATTTCGTTGAAGTATCCCTTTAACATGCACTATCATTCCTCTAACTTGAAAGGATTCACTCCTTTCAAGTTAGACCACTACATCGACGACATTTTTTTAAAACTTATTTCAAGCATACTATCCGGGTGGCGTTGGTTTTGATGAGCGTCCTCCACCAACACATGCATCTATAAACAAACACTGCTTCTTCGTTTTACATTAAATTACACGGGACGAAAACCAAGTGCAAAAATATCTCCAGACATCGCTATCGCAAGTCAACTTTTACGGCGGAGCTGTTAAAGGGACCATGAAACGATTCTGAAATCGAATTTTATCTACCGCACGTCGTAAAAGGTGTGAGAAAGAACACAAAAACAGAAAAAATAGGGAGCCAAAAAAAAAAATTCCTCGCTATAGAATTAAAAAAAAACAAAAAAAAACGGACTCTTTTGCGCCTTCTTTCATTCGAAAGCTCTCTGCTTTTTGACTGCGATGCATCCGCGGAACCGCAGCACGTCAGCCGAATCCACGTCGCCTATTGGGTAAGAACGTACCTCACCAGCACCGCGATCATAAACAATAAATAGCCGGCGAATGTTTCCCAAAAGTTTTGTTAAATGATATTCAGATCCACATTTTGCAACGTAAGTAGAGATGTGACGAAAATTTCCGAATTTGATAATGCTAAGAGCCAAGCGTCATCTACTGTGTGGTAAACGAAGCAAGAA